AAAGACCGTTAAAGTGATAATATAAATAAAAAGAGTACAAATAGTATCTCATTTTTTAACATCAATTAACTGATGTTTGATTAATTAATCAAGTCCAAAGAGTCTCCCATAATGGTTGCGTTGTGTTCGCGTTGTTGTTGTCTTCAAATAAGCAGTTAAGGTTGCTCTGATAGCTCGGGCTACTGACATTGAAAGTCATGTCCATTGACTGTGGAGAATCGTTATTGTTTAACTGCGAAGAATTGAGTCATCTCCATACACAACAAAGCCATTAGGTTTGCTTGTTGGCATTGCATGGTTACGATTTCGGCTTGTGCTTTGGCCAATTGTGCTTGTAGCTCATTCACCTGTTTTTGGAGCTGGCATATCGCTCCGGCACATCCATAAACAGGGTCCCTAATTCGCGCACTAGCTTCATACACCATGCTGCTTACTGCATCTGCTCTTTGAGATTCTGGCAGCTCCTATAAAATTTTAAATATTTTTATATTAGACGTAAATCATACACCTCTTCAAAACATTAAACAAGACGGGTATAAGAATCTTATAGTATTGCTTATAACATAATAGTATATCTATCTATATCCAACAACGAATTCAGAGATATTGATAATTTCGTAAGATTTTTGTGTTAAAAAAGATATTTTTATGCATATTTTGAAAAAGGGTATTTTTGTATTTTGAATAAATATAATAAATAAATAAAGAGATATTAAAGTAGAAAGATCTTATGATATATCTTGTCAATAAACCTAATTCAACTTATGACAAAAAATTAGTTGTGTGTGACTGTTATAAGCATCATATGTTATTTTCATTACTTTCTACTTTGGACAATGCACTATATTTTGTGAGGGTTATTATGGTAATTTCACATATACGTATACATATACATATATTGATATCGGTCAATTTGCACATGCGGTGTCGTACTAGTCTACACTGTGTGAAAGTACAGCCACCGTTTATAACTCCCTCTTCAAATGGGAACCCAGTTTTTTTTTTTGTTTTTTTTCAAAAAAAAAAAAACTGTTAGTTTTACATAAAATTAATTAAATAATTAATTAACTAATTAAATATAATTAAAATCCCTTAATACAATATAATCAATGAATTAATTTAATCTATTTTGTGGATAATTAAATGGGAAATATTTATATATATATATATAATAAAAAAATTTAATGTCAATTTTTAAGGCAATAAATTTAAAATCTTGGACTTGTCAATTTGTCTTTTTAATTTTTTTTCTGCTTACCGGTAGGATACGGCACCTGGAAAATCTCCAAAATGAACCGTTGAAAACATTTGCAACCCAAATCAAATCTACCAAATAACTTGATCTTTTTCCACTCGAACCGTTCTTTTAGAGAAATCAATACAACAAATATGCAGAGTTTATATATATATATATATGTGTGTTATACCTGCAAGAACTTAATGATGTTGCTAGCACCGAAAACTCGATGTGCAATGGTGAACTTGGCGGGTTCGGTGGGAGGAAAATAAGGTGCCAAGACACATTTCTCCGCGCATCTCCTCCGCAAAATCTTGCATGCTGCGCAAGGACTAATAACCACCGGGACAACCGGAGGCCGCAGCCCTGATGAGGGTGGAGGAGAAGAAGAAGGAGAAAGAGATTGAGAAGACGATGGAGAAGTGTTTGTGTTGTTTGAATCACTGTACTCCATCTTTAGCATCGAGGGCTATTTTCGTAATTTTCACTTTTCGGGTTTTGTAGATAGAAAAGAAAAAACTATACGTATAGAGAGAGAGAGAGAGAGAGAGAGAGAGAGAGAGGTGGGATTGAAATGGAGCAAAAGAGGTTCGGGTATATATAGAGAAATTAAGGGATGAGAAGAGCGTCATGTGCTATGGGGAAGTGACGTCATCATTTGAAAATTTGAGTACGCCTGCTAA